TGTGTGTGTGTGTACAGGGGAATTTGAGGAGATAAGTGCAGAAGAGTTATGGTTCCTAAGGGAAAAGATGACAAGAAAAGGGGCATTTTTAAGAATTGCTGTTCCCATTTTGGAGTTAGAGAATATCAAGTGAAGGACTTATACTATTTTGACATTTATTTTGGATGCTGAACTGATTTCTTTCACTGCAATGCCTCTCTTAGACTGGACCGTGTCAGGGATGGCTTGGTAAGTATTACAACTGTGTTTCAAATTCCGTTTTCCTAGCAGCAGATTTTTTTAGTGTTTAAATTCTGTCAAATATGGTTTCTGTGTTCAGTGCCATTAGACAAGTGAACGAGACATATCTGAACAAATCATCATTTTACCTTGGATTATATATTTATTATATGATCCTTGCTTTTATAAAACCTATTAGCACACTCTCTTTAATACCACCAGCTAAAGGCACATGATTATTTGGAAACTAACTCGAAGTTTTGAACTAAGGGAAGTTAAAAACCAGTTCAAACATACTCATGTCTTATACAATTGAACTCTTTGGCAAAGTGTTACTTGTTAGTAATTTCTACCAAGTTTCTTCAAGCTTGCATTCAAGCTAAGATGTTCATGATGTGGAACAGATCCACAGTTACTAAATGTTTTCTGGCATCGGGGTCTTGTGCATGAAGCAGCTGCTTACTGGGATAGTGGTGCTCAGGTCATTTCAAGTGCGGCCACTGCCTTGGCCAGAGTTGTGGGAGGTCACTGTTTGAGGACGCATGCAACCCAGATTGCCAATCACCCAGAACAAGGAGGGAAAACAGAAGGAGATCACAGGAGCATCGCAGTCCTCAGCTATCTTTGAGGTCTCACAGGCCTTTGGGAAAGGACCCCAGAATGGGAATTGGGAAAACTGAATTCCCCTTCAGCTCTGCCACAAATTTCCTATATGATCATGGAATAGAGTTTCCTTGTCGCCCAAGTGAATGGTGAGAGAAACCCTTTCAGCTAGCTCTAGGATTCTACTTTTCTATAAAATTAATTAAGAAATATAATTTGCCTCAGCATATACATTTCCTCTAACCAGGGCAAATAGCCTCTTCTTCCTTCAAGATCCAATGGCACATGATCTCACTGCCTTCTGTCACTCAGCAGTCTTGATTTTCATTGGATACTCATTAGGTCAAAACTCTATTCCACCTTTGGTAGGTGTAAGGTTTCTTGATGGCATGCACCTGCATGCACACATCTTCCTTACCCCCACATAGCACAGCTTCTAAGGTTAGGGCCACTTGTCTAGTGTAGAAGAGTGAAATTTACAAAATATATGGTGTCACTTATCTTCAAGTAGCTCATTCTTGAGGTAATTATTTTAATGTTCATTTATTAGCTTTCTCGTGTGTATATTATGTCACAATAATGACTGATAATAAAAGCTACCATTGATTGAGAACTGATGTTTTAGATATTGTCCTAAGCACTCCAAGTATAGTGTACTCTCAATTACCCAACTATATCTCTATATATCTCTATATACATATACATGTATATTCATATGTATACATATACATACAATCTATATACTTCTATATGTATAGAAATGTGTATATATACATATATCACTATACCATGTATATATACATGTATATAACTATACCAGTATATAACTAGACCATTATTTAGCCCATTTTACAGAAGAAACTGAGAATCAGAAGAAATTAATCATCCAAAGCTACATAGTTTGTAATTGGCAGAGGGTGAATTTGAGCCAGATCTTTGTTTGTTTTAAAACACTTTGAGCACAGTTCAGTGTGTCTATGGAAAAGCAATGTATGTAAGAAGCTATTTTCAAAAATGCAAAATAAGTGGTGTGGTATCTTAGAAATAACCTAGGACTTAGAGAAAGTGTCCTGGGTCCCTTCCCAGGTCCTGCTGATGGCTATGGATATGCCATCTTGAGCAAAACACTCATCTTTCCTGAGACCTCAATTTCCTCTCGTAGAATGAGGGGTTTAGAGCAGATAATCTGTAAGGTTTCTTTTGGCTCTCAAGAGGAAGGAATGATTTGCTTCTGAAAGGCATTGTTTCTACAATGAGGATAAATACTCAGAATTCTGAATACTCAGAAGGAAAGATAAGATTCTCTCCTGGGGCAATGAAATAGCTAAAGTCTGTCTAGTCATCCTTCAGATCGTAGCTTAGAGGGTGTTGATCTTAGTTGAGCCTTCCCTGGAGTCCTGCTTTATGCCATGAGCATTTTTATTTAATAGCATACTTCAGAGTTTGCCTTTACAAACTGACATGTGTGATTGGAGTAAGTTCCCAGAAGGTAGAGACCATGCCTGTCTGGTCACCATTGAATTCCTGCCTGGACCCAATGCCTAGCACAGGGCTTGGCATGGAGAAAGTGCTCAATAACTTGTCAACTAAATAGATTTTGAAAGGGGCTCATGGCTTCCAGATTTTCAGTACTGGATGATTTCGAGCCAATAATTCTTTCTATCTTTCTGGGAAAAAAAATCATAAAGTCTTTTCATAGTGAGTCTTTTGTGCCATGAGAAGGATATAATTTATTTTCTCTTGGCTCCTGGCATGCAGGAGGAGCTGGTGAGGAGTGCCTCCCTCCTGCAACTATACAAAGTCACAATGCACGTCTTGGAGCTCCAATACGACTTTTCCTAAAGCCTTAGAAACAAATACTGAAGACGACAATCTGAGCATTTATATCGATGCACGTATATCTAATTTAAATCATGTATGTAAGGAGTATTAAGCTGAGGCTTACTCATTTAACAGAAGGGATGGATAATAGAATCATTCTGTGTTTGGTGTCCTTGGCTAGAACCAGCAGCGAGAGGGCTCCTGGGCCCTCTATTGAGGCTCTACTGATGGGCCTACTCAACCTCATACATTTTACAGACTGCTGTGCCTTTCAGCCTGGAATGTTCGACTGGGATTAGCCACAGCTACTTGGGTAACTGGGGGCAGTGGGTTTCTGAAATGTCCCCCTCTCTTCCTGCAGCTTCTCCCCTGGGATGCAAGATTATAGTGCCGTGGAGCAGCGGGGGCTGCGGCAGCGTGGCTGAGGCTGCTGGGCAGCCATACGGCAGTGGCTTGTTGGCTGGGAGCAGTTCAGTCTAGGACCACACGGAAAGCAGACATGCTGACTACAGCGTGGAGCAGGAAAATGAGAGCTTCTGCCTGTGTTTGGCGGGCTAGGATGGGAGAAGGAAAGGAGGGGGTGTTGGGGACAATGCCAAGCAGGGCTGTTGATGAAAGTGTGGGAAGACTCAACGGGAGGCATTTTGCCAACTCAGAGGCAGTTGGGCTGATTCCCCCCACCCCTCTTTATTTTATTTTTTTCCTGCTTAAATGAGAAATCCTGCTGGGTGGAGCGGGAGCAGGGCCAAGAAAGGAGTGATTCTGCTGGGTGAGCGTGGATGGTCGGACCCAGGAAGGCTGTGTCTACCCGCTGGGCTCAGGGCCAGGGAGGGAAGAGAATGTAAGGGAAGGGAGACGAGGGGCAGCAAGAATAAGAGAGAGTAAAAGAACACAAGAGGAGGTGTCCTAGGAGGAAAAGAAGAAGGGAGAGAAAGCAGGTCAGGTAGACAGGGGAGAACCATGTTTCTGTGTTTCAGGGCAGGCCTACCTTTCAAATGTCAGAATAAATAATGTTCACGTGGAACAAGCAATGACAGACCACAGGGCACAGTGAACCTACGGCTCCTAAAATTTCCTGGTGAGCATGAATTTCTATGGGAATGCATCATTCTCAAACAGCAAATCATGGGAGAGCTGTAAGTTATAAAAAACATGTTGCTTTTTGGGTAAAAAGAGAACAAACAAAAGGCTGCCACAAGAAAACCACATACTACTTTACATATTAGATAGTGACTGAAATATAATGCAGAACACAAACCCTAAGTTGCGCTTCTTGCCTTTCTAATACAAGATTAAAAATATAAAGATCCTCTGGTAAGGAAAGCTACAGGAGGTAAAATTACAAATATCAATGAAGTGAACTTCAATTTGAAGTGATGTCACTTTTGGAGCTTTCTGAAGTCCCTCTGTGGAGTCTTGTGAGGAGCTAAAAGACCATCAAGTAAATGTTGCATTTTTTTGTGACGATCACAAAAAAGTTACACGTGGCCTGAGGACCAGAATCCCACTGGCTTCAAACTCATACAGACACTGAGGCATATTTTGACTTAAAACAGATTTGACTACAGGCTGATTACAAATAAGAGATCTCAAATCGTCCCCCTCCCAGTTCTGAATGTAGGCTTCAAAGGGCCTGGCACGCTTCCATTCTTCCTCTTGGAACCCTGCCACCACCACGTGAACAAGCCCGGGCAGCCCGCTGGAGTCTGACAGGCCACATCAAGGACAGCCTCGTGGTCCCCGACAAAGCCATTTTAGACCCGTCTCCAGCCAGCTGATCCCCAAACAAGGGAACCCAGCTAAGATCAGCAGGGCAGCCCACTCAATTCACAGCTGATGACAAACACATGAGTTGACACAGCTGAGACCCAAACAGCTGCTTAGCTGACCCATGAGCAATAAGTACTTATTGGTTGAAGCCATTGAGTTTTGGGAGTCGTCGTTTACCCAACACAGATAACCAATAGACTTAACACACAAACTGGAAACTCACCTGTGCATTCATACTGCAGACCTTTGCCGTAATACCCCTTTTCACAGATGCACTCGAATTGACCCGTGTGTGTCCCACATTTGCAGCTTGCCATTCGGTCACAGCAATCTTTGCCGGCTTCACACAGATAGGAGCAATGGGACATATCTTCTTGAATAAAACTCCCAGAAGGCAGATCTACCAATAACACAGGACAGAGGGTGATAACAAAATGAATGAACAGTCGAATGTTATAGTCTCTAGTTCCTAAAATGTAAGTGCAAGCAGGAGAAAAAATCTTTTCGTATCTGTCTCATTCCCAGCTGCTCCCTACCCCCACCTGGAGATGAATGTATGTTATTTGCGCTACCACAGACTGGGGATTTCTTTCAGCCAGTTAAGTTACTTCAGTCTGGGGCCTCATCAGAAGTTCTCGAGGCCATGCCGGGTCAGGCAGAAATTAAGTACTTCAGCAAGGAATCCCCAGATGCAGCAGGAAATAAAGCAGTCAGTCGTACAGGTCACTCCTGGCTCCCACACCAGCCTGGGCTCCACTGCCTCGGGATGAGGTCAGGCAGCAGGAACCAGATTTACGAAATCCTTGCTCAAATCCATAAATAAAACTACAGTCCTGACTGCTGTTATGAGGGTGTTGCTTGTGAGCTACCGAGCAAACAATAAATACCAATCACATCTATAGTTATTTGATTAAAGACTTAAGTAACAGACCTTGCCCTCAACTCTTCTCTTGGAACTACAGTAGGGTTGATCTGCTTATTTTGTTCTGAACATCACCAACTGTTGGAAACCTCCTGTTGCCATGACTTGCCCATCAAATCGAATCTTGCACACCGATAGCTGCAAGGATCAAGCCTAATTTTCTACATGGCTTTGGTCTGAGGCTACATCTCCTGTCATCATCTCCTCCCCAATCTATACGTTCTCTTGTGGCTCACCAAGACACAAGCCCATATTATGTCTGGTCGGTCAACTACCTTAAACCATACATAAACAGCCTTCTCAGTGGTGAACAAGGAACTCACTCTAATGAATAGATTTACTGGGTTTTATTCCCTGTTGGGGTAACGCTCTTTAGTTTATACATAAGTATATGTATCTTCAAATTATCAGGTCAAGAAGTATGTGTTAAGTATTTATTGTCCCTCTATCTTCACGTGTATTTCTGGAAACATGCGGGTGAGATTCACCACACATGTTTCTGAATGTTTACTTCAGCTTTCCAGATCACTGTAAATGACGTCTAAGTTAAGGCTTTCCACTCTGTGTGTGGCCTCAAAACACACCTAAATTCATTCCATTGATTCTAATGGTTCCTGGTGGGAGCATATGGATATTTTCGTGAAAATATATCACGGCTGTTAAAAAACAAAACAAATATTCTGGTTGTAAGGTCAGAATGGCATCGCTATTCACAAAATGCAACACGTCTTAATACACCAAGGATACATGGGCACCATGCTCAGCGAAGACTTCACTGGGTTTGGTATTACCCTCCAGTGGGTTTCAAGCAGTGAGAGAGAGAAGGAAACGCCATTGACATGTATCGTGTTATGGCATTAGTTTTGCATTACCTTCATGCAATGCCCGGCGAGCTAGAGCCTCAAATTCTTCAAAACTGTGGAGCAGGTAGCAGTGTTCTTCCTTTGGGGTGGAGGCCATGTCATTCAGTTCTCGAATGTTTCCTTGCCATATGCCGAACGTAAAGATCTCAACTCCAAAATCTCGCAGTGATGCTGCGATTGGTCTAGGATCTCCCCCATTCGAATACCCATCAGTAATGAGAAATATAACTTTTGTCGAGTTTTCTCGAGAATGGCGAAGAATTTGCTGTAATGAAATGGAAAGTTACTATGAGTCGGTGTTGTGTTGACCTACTATGTGTTTCCCATCTTATGTAACATATATCTGTGAAAATCATGAGTGTTTCATAAGAGTGAGGAAAAGAACACTGATCAGTGAAAGTAAAATAGAAATCAGCACAGACTAGAGACTATAATGGTCTCACAGAACCACAATAAACCGTAAAAGCATTTAAACTGTATCATCATAGGCAGCAGAAGCTCTGCCATGGAACTCGCTACTGACAAGCAGCAAATATTTACGGAATTGATTTTTATCAATATTATCACTTACTGTCAAACTATTTTTTATTTTCATGCTCTCAAAACAAAACAAACCTGAGTCCCATGTACCTACTTCCAAGAATATCTATCTATTGTATCTATTTATTGTATCTACCTACCTACCTACCTATCTCCCTCCACCTCATGATCATATACTAAAAGCCTAACTAGTTAGAAAATTTAACAGAATGTGTCTTTTCCAGAGTCAATAAGGGTCAACCTGCTTTTTGTATTTGTCTTTCCACTGCTCCTCCAACACTGTAGAATTGATTCAATACTTCATCTTTTTTACTGGGACCACCCAGTATTAGCACAAAATCAGCTTTGTTTTTGGTGGTGTCCTACCTTCATGAGAAAATACTGATTTACTCAATCTAAAACTTTCACTTTGTTATTTTAGGACAAGTGAATTATAAACATTATACGCAGTTCCTTTTCTATACATAAAAGACAATAATGAAACCTTTTAAAAAAAGGCATCTATCTATTGCCACTGATACTTTGTAACATTAAACTGTAAAGCATGGGAATCCAGTAGTGAATTTGGCATTGGAACTAAATTTCCTGTTGTTGCTTTTCATTATAAATGGATAAGAATGGTAAAGAAGTGCCAGAGTATATTTTGTAGCAAGGTTTTAGAAGGCATTCGATGTCCATTAGGCAATAATTCAAGAAACACTACATTCAGAAAGTAGTCAGGAAGAGCGAAAATTATACTCTGTTATGTTAAAGTTAAAAGGAGATGATATCATTTAAAAAATAACTGCCTCAACTCATTTTGAGGGGCACTCTCCGCTACAAGATCCAGATTCTCTCAGATTCTAAGATTCAAGTACAGAGAAAGCATTTTTCATGGTATATAATCATTAGGTATTGTTTCTAATTCAATAATCCTTATCAAATATTTCAGTGTTTGTGAGCTAAAGATAAAGTCATTAAACCTTGATTCAAAGACAATGAAAATAAACTAAAAATGGCTTGGAGAACATCAGGAAATGCTACAATTTGAGACGAGGTATTCAAACACTTCACCCCACTTCTTCTCAAAAACCTACCAGTACCAGTTATTAAAGGTTTCTCAGGGCCTGCCAAAGAGAATCAGTAACCAGCCCAAAGAGGCACCTTCTGGCCAAATAAAGGTTTTGTTTGTTGGTTTGTTTTTTCAGTTAGCACACATGCCAGGCATAAAGCCCCCATCAATATAAACAATAATTGGAATGGACTGAAACACACACACATTTTTTTCATTCAGTACTTTTCTGGAGAAAAGTCCAATTATCTGTCATGGATGGCACTCGGTGAGATACTATTTTATTTGTCTCTAAAATTGTACATCAGTACTCAAAGGGTAACTCTGAGTTCTAGCATGCCAAGATGTGGCAAGTTGTGTTTACACCATTCTTGTTCTTTACAAAGTGATAAACTCTTTGAGTTTTTCCACTCTGAAATCATATCCTAACCTCCATGGACACTGCCCTAAGCTTTTGCTCATTTGGACTACTCTCTGTTCTGCAAGACCATGACAATTAACTGTCAGTAAGACACTAAAAAACAAAAGTGAGACTTTTGATGGAAAGGAGAAGAGAGGAAGAAACTAAATTGTCTTTTTCAGTATGGTATCCTCGACAGAGCTTGGCACAGAGGAGGTACTCATAACTATTTATTCAATGAATGAATTATTGAATGAGTGGATTGGATAAACTCGAGGATGCTTTGGAAAGAGTTACATGAAAAAATATATGCACCCCTATGTTCATTGCAGCACTATTTACAATAGCCAAGACTTGGAAACAACCGAAATGCCCATCGGTAGATGACTGGATTAAGAAACTGTGGTACATTTACACAATGGAGTATTATTCAACTATAAAGAAGAAGGAAATTGTACCATTTGCAACGATGTGGATGGACCTAGAGAACATTATGCTAAGTGAAATCAGTCAGTCAGAGAAAGACAAATACCATATGATCTCACTTATATGTGGAATCTAAAGAACTGAATAAACGAGCAAAGTAAACAGAAATACTCTCAGAGACACAGAGGAAAAACTGAAGATTGCTAGATGGGATGTGGGTGGGGATGAGGGAGAAGGGGAAGGGAGGGGACAACATAAATTGTTAACTATGATATGGCCTCAGGGATAGAAAAGACAGTCTGGGGAATATAGTCAATAATGTTATAAATATTTTTTACGGGGCCAGATGGTCTCATGTCTTGTTAGGGAGACCACATCATGGACGGTGTAGAGGCCTGACCACTGCACTGTACATCTGAAGCTGCAGTTGAATAATATTATATGTCAACTATAATTTAATACATATTAGTCACGGGATGTGGAGTACAGTGTGGGGAATGGAGTCAATAGAATTGTTATAGATATGTATGATATCGGGGTGGGAAGCAGTGGATGGGGGGAGGGGGGTTGTCACTTTGTGAGAGGTGAAAAGGATAACTGTTGCATTGTTTCATACACCTGAAATTAATAATAAAAAAAATAAAATAAAACTAAAAAAAAAAAAAAGGAGAGAGTTACATGAGTTGGTCTTGAATAACCAGTAGGAATGTATGGAATATCTGTGTATGGATGTGCACACATGTTCTGTATTTATATAGTTTTATACAAAAAAAGATAAAGTTTCCTTTTTGTGTCTTTATTGTCCTTCTGACACAAACGAATGGTATCCTGTGATATTAATCTTGACTCATGGCAATACCATGCCTTCACATCCAGGCTAGGATTTAGTGGAGATTTCTAGCTGTACTGCTCCTTATGTAAACAACACTTAAAGCTGTGGTTCTATTTTTCTTCTCTTCTTGGGGGGAACTGGTGAATATTTACAGGAACCATTACATCTGTTGGCAGGACAATATATTAAGCTTAAAATAGTAAGAAGAATAGGAGGACTCGTAGTCCAAGCTAAGAATTACACAAGATCTGGGTTTGGAATGCACTTTAAAGATAGTGGGGTGGCTAATTTAGTGAAAAATCATTGGCCCCCCCACCCCAATCTTTGTGTTTCATCGCACTTGAATAAAAACATAATTCAATAAAAATAGTTTTCATCCCACAGATCTAAGAAGTAAATAGATCTGTGGTAATGTTTGGGGAATGTGACAGAGGCCTAGCACTTAATTCTCTTTTTAGTGTTCCTGAAATGGTTTACATCATCTGCTATCCTCTGTAAGGCATTTAAGAAGTAGAATTTTTTTTTTTTGGTCCAGAATATTGAATGAGGCAAACCCTTTGCTGCCAAATAAAAACTCGACATGAACTCTGTATGGCAAAAGGTTATCACCATCTGTATTGTATCAAGCCTCTGATTAGCTTGTATAAATATCTGGCAGGGAAGTAAGCTCCCCTCATCCAGCAATAGTCATTAGAATGATAAAAATGCAGGGTTGTGTAACATTGTTCTAACACCCGAGATCCATCACCGTTACACAAGACTGCAACCCCACTCTCCACCCTCAAAGTCAGGCCACAAGAGAACTATTTTGAAAAATGGTCTTGGAAAAAAAAAAAAAGAGGAGTCACAACAAAACTGACTTGGGGACAATATTTGCCCTTGGGCTCCATTAATTAAACTACATGTGGATATAATTCCAACTGCAGCCAACCATGAGTGAGGATAGTAACTAGAGAACTTCATAAGTCATCTTTCGAAAAACTTGACTTCATGAACTGTTACCTATTGTGACTATATCAGAGCCATTCTCCTCCAAGAAGCAGAAAACTAGTAAACCAACGTTTCAACTTTTTTTCCACGTTTTTTTTTCCTTGTTAAGAAACATTAACTATGAACAAGACACCATAAGCTACATTACTTTCTTCATCCTTCAAATTCTAAAATTTCACCAACCCTCGTCTGTTATTTACTTATTTTGAATTTGAATGCTCAAATATTCTCCAGTTTAAGGAAGGTTTATTGTTTTATATTTTTGAGTAGTATTTCTGGGAAAAGGAGTTATTCATCTGTTGGTTCCTCATTTTCTGAACTTCATATATTCTTTTTCTCACTTTTATCTCATCCTATTTCCTTCTCAATTTGATAGAAATGTGTGAAACTTTTCTTCCATATTATCACTGTTTGGTTTTATGTAGTATTTGTTGTCTTTCTTCCCTTCTACTTCTAATTAAGAATTAATCTTGGCATTGCATTTATTTTCCATGTTATTGTGGATGAAAAAGGGTCCACACACTAAACCTGACAAGCTCAGGGGAGGCCAGCATGGCAGGCCCTACAAACTCGGAGACTGAAAGTAACCACATAGGATGGTCTGAACAGAAAAATTCCTAACTAAAAGCAGGTCATAGTGGGTAGTCACATTCTAGGCCTGTAGCTTCCTTGAGAAAGGTCAGTCTTTACCTGACGTGAGCCTGTGTATCGTTTTTGTGCATCTAAGATAACATACCTTTGAAATGTCAGAGTCATCCCCTTTTCTAGACTCCTCTTGCATAGCCCATCACACCAGAGCATGCGACACAGGATCCCTCAGTGTTATCTTGTAGCTGGAATACCATCTCTGCATGCCATAAATGTTAATTGTTAACTATTCTATACCCACCAATGTAAAAGAAGTATATGTGTTTCTCTTTTACTTTTCATCCAATCCTAGAGATTTCCCCCTTTGCCTTCTCCTACCCCCTTAATCTACCACCAATGGATTTCCTCCTCTGTCTGCGTCTTTGATTCTAATACACA